CAGAGATAGGAAAGGTATGAGCTATGGTTTGAACATGTCCTCTAAATTTCAAGTGATGGAAATTTAATCCCCAATGTGGCAGTATTGAAAGGTAGAACATCAAAAAGAACAACTACTTCTGCTGATCCAGATTGTAAAAAAAAAAAAAAAAACAAAAAACCCCACCAGAGATAGGAAAGGTATGAGCTATGGTTTGAACATGTCCTCTAAATTTCAAGTGATGGAAATTTAATCCCCAATGTGGCAGTATTGAAAGGTAGGACCTCTAAGAAATAACTGGATCATGATTAATACATGGATTAATGGGTTAATGGATTAACGGGTTATTATGAGAGAGGAACTAGTGGAGAGTCCTGAGCTAGCATGTTAGCACACTTAGCCCCCTCGCCAACTAATACTCTGCGCCGCCTTGAGACTCTGACAGAGTTCCCACCAGCAAGAAGGCTCTCACCAAATATGGCCCCTCTACCTTGGACTTCTCAGCCTCTAAAACTGTCAGAAATAAATTTCTTTTCTTTCTAAATTACTCAGTTTCAGGTATTCTGTTATAAGCAACTAAGACGGTATGAGAGCTTCCAAAATGAGAACGATCATTTCAATCTATTAGCAATAATAGATTATTGCTAATCTATTCCCTCCTCAGAATAGATTAGCAATAAATGCCTAAGGCCCTGACAAAAGAACCTGAAACAATAAACAGTTTCAGGAGCCTGTAGATATTATTACCAATGCCTTAGCCATCAATATCAAATTAAACCTTTCCAAAGCAGCTGTGAATCTCTTATCTCATTTTATCTTCACAACATCCCAAGATAGGAAAAGCAAATATTATCATCCCTTCTTTCCAAATGAATAGTTTGAGATAGAGGAAAGCAAGTGAATGTCACACAGGGTGTTAGTAGCTGAATTAATTCCTCCATTCCAGCCCCATGTTCTTCCACAGGACTCCACAGAGAAGAATATAAGGGCCAAGCAGATGAAAAATTACAAGTATTAACTATAACCCACCTTTGCCCTTTTTTGATTTAACATTTTTGTATAGTGAAATTTTAAGCAATTTATTGCATCAAAAAGGAAAAGAACAGACCAAGAAGTCTGTCTACTACCTGAAGAAGAAACAAAGCTCACTTGCTCTGCTTCTCTTTGAGCTACACTTGCATCTGCGTCAGGGTACGAGCCTGACAGGATGCTGATCCACACAATCTGGGTAGAGGTGACACTTGGCACCAGGAAAGCATACTGTGATGTGGAGACTGATTTCTTTTCTCTTGGAATCCTTCTCACAAAAGCCTGCCCACTCACCTTCAGAAAATAAGGGCAAGAAAACTCAGGGCCCTTCCTGATCAGGACAACCAAAAATAAAGCAGCTGAAATGTAAAGGAGTTCAGTGCCAAAATAGAAGGACATACAATAAATACCAATTCATTTTATGTCTGCGAAGCACTCTCATATACATTTAGAATTCTTCACAACCCTGTGAAATTATTCCCATCTTAAAGAGGTTAAGTGACATGCCACTGCTATTAACAAAGACCTCACTCCACATATCCTCCCTCCAATTCCATTTAGTGCAGCACTCTTTCCAAAACATCTCTGCTGTCTGGATAGGAAAGTGCATAGTTTTTAAAAAAGGGAATAAGAGATTTTGTTAAGAATTATACCAAGTATGTAAAGCTTAAGGTAAGGTTACATGTAGCCAATATTGTGAGGACTCAAAGAATTCCCATTCAATGGCCTGTTTTTCCCTGAAACACAACCACCTAGCACTGTATAGCAGTGTTTCTCAAATTGTTTAGACAACTCACAGTAAAGAATGTGGAACCAGGTACACACATATATTCTTTATTTGAAACTGAAATAAAAGTTTTACAAATACTGATTCTTTACCATATATGGATGTATTTCTTCTATACTATTTCATTTTTTAAAAACTCTAGTCATGACCCACACAAGACCCACCAATGGGTAATGACCCGCAGTTTAAGAAAAACATTATTGGGCCGGGTGCGGTGGCTCACACCTGTAATCCTAGCTCTCTGGGAGGCCAAGGCAGGCGGATTGTTTGAGCTCAGGAGTTCAAAACCAGCCTGAGCAAGAGCGAGACCCCGTCTCTACTAAAAATAGAAAGAAATTAATTGGACAACTAAAAATATATAGAAAAAACTAGCCGGGCATAGTGGCGCATGCCTGTAGTCCCAGCTACTCGGGAGGCTGAGGCAGGAGGATCGCTTGAGCCCAGGAGTTTGAGGTTGCTGTGAGCTAAGATGACACCGTGGCACTCTAGCCCAGGCAACACAGTAAGACTCTTGTCTCAAAAAAAAAAAAAGAAAAAAGAAACATTATTGTATGACATCCTCATTCTCTCATTCAGCTACTTCTATACATAAAATGACAAAGAACAGGCAGGTACCATGGCTTGTAAAGCAATCAAAGCTATGTTGACAATCCTAAGTATAACTTTTGTTACCAAGAAAATAGAAGCTAAGGATGGGGTGATTATTAACACATGCTAGTCTGCCTACTCACATATTCAGATACCATGGGGGGAAAGTGGGAGTCCATGAGATGCCAATCCCACCAGAGGTAGAGGCAGCCACCTAGAGAAACAGCCTGGTGACTTGGAAGAGAGCTAAATGTTTGTTTGGGGTAACATCAAGTACCTATCTCAGGTGCCCCTCGATGGTCCAGGTAAGAGGAAAAAATGCTTCTACCATTAAAATCCTTATTATTCTTCCTCACTCTAATACATGCCAATCCTACTTCATAGTGACATCATGAGCATTAAACAGAATGTGAAGTATATAGCATTATTCCACAAGTCAGTAAATTTCCCCAGTGACTCTAGACAAAAACCTTGGAGTCAGACTTGATTTCTTGACTCCTCTTTTTCTCATACTCCACCGCTGACCCATCAGCAAACCCTCTCAGCTCTACCTTCAAAAATGTCCACATCCTAACTACCTTTTCCTACCTCCTCTGCTACCATCCTGGTCCAATATCATTATCTCTCACCTGGATTACTGTAAGCGACTACTAACTGGTCTCTCTGCTTCCATCCTATTCTCCAGCCGTCTATTTGGAACACCTTAGCCAGAGAGAGACTCTTTCAAAATGTAAGCTAGATCATGTTTCTGCTCTCTGCTTAAAACCAGTGGCCTCCTATCTCAGAGTAAAAGCCAAAGTCCTTGCAACAGCCTATAAGGACCTACATGATTTGGTACTCTAGATCTCATCTCCTAATTCTCTTCCCTTCACTCACTTCACTCCAGTCACCCTGGCCTCCTTGCTCCTCCTCCAGTATACCAGGCACACTCCTGCTTCAGTATCTTTGAGCTTGTGGTTTCCTCTGCCCAGTTGCTCTTCCCCCTGGGAGGCAGATGTTCACACTCTGACCTCAGTCAGGTCTTCCCTGACCACTCTGTTTTTATTGCCACTCCTCACCTCCTCTTCACATACACATAGACTTCCTAACTCCCTTCTCTGATTTATTTTTCTCCTTAGCATTTATCATCATTATCACTATATATGTGGCTTATTTGTTTATTAGCTGTCTTCCCCACCTTGAAGACATAAGAGCAATGATTGCTTTGGTGTTGTGCACTGCTGTCTCTCCAGGACCTTCAATAGTGCCTGGCACATAGTAGGCATTCAATCAGTATTTGCTGAATAAATAAATGGACGAATGAAGAGTATACTGGCTAAGAGCTCCAAATCTGAGGATCAAAATCTGTATTACTTAATACCTGTACGAACTTAAACTAAAGTTACTAAATTTCCCTAAGTCCCAGATTCCTGGCTGTAAAATGAGATTAAGACTCTCCATCCAATAAGTTTGAGAAAATTAAATGACATAACCTGTGTCAAACTCAATACCGTGCCTAGCAATCAGCTGATTCCTAATAAGCCTTACTGATGCTTTACTAAAAGTTAGCTATTTTCATTATTGCCAAATAAGATCGTATATGTGAGCATGCATAATAACAGAAAGCGCTATAGAAACGTCAGGAAATGCTTTGCTTTCCATAAACCGACCTCTATAGACCCACAGAAAAGAAACTCTATTCCCTATCCCTTCTCTTAGAGGAGGGTAAAGAATTTTATGGCTCCCTGAAGCTTGGGAAGGTGTCCTCGTCCCGACCCCGCTCCCCAGAAACCCCAGCCCTATCCTTGACCGCCCCGTCCCCCCTACCTTTCTCAGTCACCACGAAGCACTGCTTCACCGGCCCCACCTGACTGAACAGCTCCTCCAGCTGCTCACTGCGGGCCGAGGGCGGGAGACGGCCCACAAACAGGGTCAGGCCGGCCATGAGACCGGGAAACACAAGGTAAGCGAGGACGCGAGCAAAGCGGGTCTGCGGAAAGGAGTCGAGAGAGTGACTTTGGCAGGCGGACCACGCCGTTGCCACCGAGTGGCTGGGAGATTCCGGAAGTGCTCGTTGCTCAAAAGAGTCCGGAGGAAAACATGGTGGGAAGAAGGAAAAAACGTTCCGGGAAGAAAAAAATAATGACGCCCCAGGGGCGGAGCTTTTTGAGCTATCCCAGCACCGCCTCGCCTCTGTAGTGAAACGTGGCATCAACAATTTCTACCTTTCTAAAAGTCTCATCTCCAGGAGATCGACCCCAAATTCACCAGGACAGGCAGGAGAAGTTGTTTTTGCCCTGGTCCTAACCCAGGGTATTTAATACTTTCTGAAATGTCTCCACAAATTCACAGATTATGTGCATAAAACACAGCCAGAAAGCACAGACAGGTACAAGTATGTCACATACATCATTCGGGCAATTCTCGTGTTCTCCAAGAGTATGAGACATCTGTCACCTCGGCTTCAGAAACAAACTGTAGTTACTAAAGTACACATAGACACAGACTGCACACAATTATTCTCTCAATAAATATTTACTGAGCTCCTACTATGTGTCAGGCATTAGGGATAAAATTGCTGAGCTAAAAATTAGCTGGGTGTGGTGGTGCACACCTGCGTAGTCCTAACTACTCTGACAGCTAAAGTAGGAGGATGGCTTGAGCCCAGGCATTCCAGACTGCAGTGAGCTATGATCATGCCACTGCACTCCAGCCTGGGTGACAGAGTAAGACCCTATCTCTAAAAAAATAAATAAATAAACACACACACCAAAAAAAACCCTGAAAACAATTGGTGAGCTAAAAAAAGACAGGGTCCCTGCTCTCATAGAGAATACAGTCTAGGGGGGAAGACAGACAATTAAAAAAATCTTACAAATAGGGCCAGGTGCGGTGGCTCATGACTGCAATCCCAGCAATTTGGGAGGCAGAGGCAGGAGGATCACTGGAGCCCAGGAGTTTGAGGCTGTAGTGAGCTATGATCGTGCCACTGCACTCCAGTCTGGGGAACAGAGTGAGACTCTGTCTAAAGTAAATCATACCATGCAAACTGTGAGACCACATCAGAACACACAAAGCAAACATAATATCCAGCTTAGACATAGAGACAGAAGATCTTCCCTTAGATCAATTCAGCAGACAGACCCAAGGCTGAGAGGTCTCACTTGGCCAAGAGGAGATCTGAGTGCTCCTGGATCCTGGAACACAGAGAGTATTTGCCATCCCACCGGGCTCAAGAATGGACCTGTGTGCCAGACAGCTGCAGAATGCCTAGCTTAAAAAAGTGCTCAAGACATTTTTTTTAATCATTACTTTTAAATGGTAGTGACATGGTAGGCAGAACACTCAAAAAGTGTAAAAGGTACTACATTGAAAAGTGGATGGATGGATGACTGGTTGGTAGTGATGGGGTTAGGGGGACACTAAACATCAGATTTATGAAGCTCTAGCTCCAAGTAAGTAACATATGCTTAAAAGACAGCATCAATTATTTTTAAAAACATAACTCAGCAGAGGAAGTATTGAAATACAGAACAGATTTTTAAGGCTACTGGGTTAATCCTATCCAGGACAAAGAGAAACAAATAGACAAAGGAATTGGGATGGGTCACTTGAACAAAATTGGTTTAGGATTCCACATTCCTCCCTCTTCTTTTTTCTTCCCTCCTGAGCCTCCCTCCTACCACCACCTTAGGAATTAAAATTCCATCCCCGAACACTAAATTGCAAGCTTCAGGGCCCCAGCTATGAGAAAGTCTTCTCAGTTATGGCTGCAGTATGTACAAAGTACCCTGATAAGGTTGTTCCGACGTCCCTTAAATACCTTGGACCAAATCTTCCTTAAAGGACAAAACCAAACTGTGTCCCTATGTCCATCAGGGGGCAGCAGCCACCCGCAGTGTAGGATTCTGTGCTTCTCCGGGAGGACAACAGTCCAGCTAATCTTTTCTACTCGCCCCATGGTTCAGACCCGGTTCCCCATCTGTCTTCCAGCCCCACCCCCTCCTATCCGTTTATATCAGGGAGGGCACATGGTTCTTCAATCAAGAATATTTGCTCATCCATCTCCCCAGGATACATGCAGCATTCTTTATTAAGTAGCAGGAGTCATGGTACCTTGCATCACACCAGCAACGTGGCTTCCAGGGAAAATAAACTGCTGGCCTCCCCCTCACCCATCACCGTACAGGAGCCCAGAAAGGAAGTAAGAGGTCCCGGGCTGTTCTCAGCCAGCCTATCCCAGATCCCAGCCCTCTGGCTCCACTCCCCCTTACAAGCCAAACCTTTTTTATAATACAGTATAGCTCTGGTACTTAGCACTTCTCACAACTGTAATTAATTACTCGTGCTATTGTGATTAGTTATTTAATGTCTGCCTTCTCCCAAAAGACCTTCAATTTCATAAATTCAGGGCTGGTGTCCACCCTGTTCGCCTCTCTATTCCCAGCACCTAGCACATTGTAAGCATTAAATAAATATTTTTTAGGCTGTGCACAGTGGCTCATGCCTGTAATCCCAGCACTTTGGGAGGCAGAGATGGGAGGATCACTTGAGACTAGGAGTTCAAGACCAGCCTAGGCAACATAGCGGGACCCCATCTCTACATAGAATTAAAAAAAAAAAAATTAGCTGGTTGTGGTGGCACGCACCTGTGGTCCCAGCTACTTGGGAGGCTGAGGTGGGAGGATCACTTGAACCCAGGAGTTCCAGGTTACAGTGAGCTGTGATTGCACCACTGCACTCCAGCCTGGGTGACAGAGCAAGACCCTGTCTCAAAAAAAAATTTTTTTAAGAGATTGAATGAATGAATGAAGTCAAGTTTATATCTTTCAGTCCTCCACAGTACCAAGATTTAGAACTGAAGGGTATATGCGTTAGGATCTACCTGGACTCCTTCTGGGAAACCTGCTTTGGGTAAGGGATGAGGCTTGAGATAGAAGAGAAGAGTCATCTCAGTAAAGTCTTGGCCTCTTTATGAAGTCAAAGGGCTGAGCTAACTCTTGCTGGGGAAAATCAGAGAAATGTTAGAACTGGTGAACACTGAGCTGAATTCCCTCATCCCCCTCCCCCCACCAGCCCCATCCAGAGCTTGCAGACAGAAAAGGAGTGTGTGTGTGCATGTGTGTGTGTGTGTGTGTGTGTGTGTGTGTGTGTGTGTGTGTGAGAGAGAGAGAGAGAGAGAGAGAGACTGGCTGGGAGTATTTGGGCTTGGACTGCTCTGTTGGGAGGTATGTGCATGAACCTAAGGACCCTTGAGGAGGAGAGTGAGCGAGAGGGAGCAGCTGGCAAGGATGAGAGTGAGGAAGAGATAGATGGCAGAGAAGAGCTGAGAGTGAGCACAGGCAGATGAGAGGCAGCTGGAAGGGTAAGTGGGGAAGAAAAGGAGCAATTTCTCAGAGCAGCAAGCACTCCTTGTACAACACAAAGCAACTCTGATGCTGGGCCCACTACAGTCACTATGACACCAGTGAGAAATGCCTGTAATTAGGAGGTTGGCAGTTTTCTGGGCCTCAGCCCAGAGTGACGATGCAGTAAGAATTTCTGAGCCAAGCTGAGCCAGGTGATGGAGGAGACAGAATCAAAACCATTCCAGGCCCATCCCTCAGCAGTGCCTGTACCCGCCTTCCTCTCATTTCCCTTCCTTGGGAAGGGAAGAGTGATTCACACACTCTTCCCAAACATCACTGACTCCCCTCCTCCATCTGAGGTCCTAGGCTCTCAACATTCCTCTAGCCAAGACAGATGTTCATCTGCAGGGAGAGCAGTGCTTGAATCTTCCCTAGTGCATTGGACCTGGTCTGGCTGAGGGCCCCACCCCCTCTCAGCCTCCCTGCCTGCTTCCCTCTTGGCTCTCCCCTTCTCCAATCCCCATGAGCTGATGGGCAGAGTTGGAAGAAAAACTGCTAGATTCCTGTTCTCCACTTTGAGCCTAGTGTGTGTGCTCCTGCAGGTCTCCCTGTGAGGTGCAGGGCATCTGCCAAAACATTGTCAAATTTTCATTTTCAAACCTAATACACAACCCTGTTTTTGTGCCACTCTCAACCACTGCATTTTAGCCAAATGACAAATGCATACTACAGAGCTCAGAGCCAAATGCTCTAGGCAAGGGAGGGATTAGGGAGCACCTGGTGGCTGGATGTGTTTGTGGGTCTCTGCACTGCGAGTTCTGCTTTGGGAGCTGGCTGGGGCTGGACAGACTTTCTCCAGGGAGGATCTGCACCCATGGTAGTTGAGAGTTCTTTGCAGGGGTTGGGGAGGGTGTTGCGAGCCCAATCTTCCAACCTTGAAGAGACCCTGTTGGTGGGTAAAAAAGGTAATTTCCTCTTTGGGAATCCCATACTGTGGGAACGTGGTGGTGGGGGTGGGGGTGGGTGGTGCTAGAGGTCCCAGCTCAAGCTGATCAGGCTCTTGTGCATGTGTACCACCATTTTCATGGGCCGGGCGCGGTGGCTCATGCCTGTAATCCTAGCACTCTGAGAGGCCGAGGCAGGAGGATCCCCTGAGCTCAGGATTTCCAGACCAGCCTGAGCAAGAGCGAGACCCCATCTCCACTATAAATAGAAAGAAATTAGCCAAACAACTAAAAATAGAAAAAATCAGCCAGGCACAGTGGCGCATGCCTGTAGTCCCAGCTACCCGGGAGGCTGAGACAGGAGGATCGCTTGAGCCCAGGAGTTTGAGGTTGCTGTGAGCTAGGCTGATGCCATGGCACTCTAGCCGAGAAAAAAAAAAAACATTTTCATGAAGGACTTTACCACGAACTAGCCCCTAGCCAGCTGTACACCAGGACCTGAATCCAGGCTCCTAGCAATGCGGGCATTCCCACCGATGACTGTAAAGTTTCCGCTTCATTTCTCAGGGCCATGTTCTATCTCTGTGAAAAGCCACTTCCCAGAGAGACACAAGGGTCTTCAAGGGGCTGCTCCCAGGACCCTCACTCATCCCAGACACAAGGCAAGACTCCCTGGTCTTGTGTGAAGGTCCCCGGGGTCTGAGGCATACCCAAGCCACCCACAAGCTGCTTCTCTTCCACTTCCAGTGGAATCGCTGCTACCGTTGCCCCATTTAACCTTTCCCAAGAAGGTCAGATTGTTCTCCTCTGAAAATATTTTATTGATAAATTAACTCTGAAAGCGTTCACCTCCCACCCAACTGCTATAAAGTCTCCTAGATGGGCTATGGACCCCTGTGGGCGAGGGTCACGTGGAGAGCAGGGAGTCTCACTCTCACAGGGGTGGGATTCCTGGGCATGGCAGGAGTGGGTATGGGACCTGAGGACAGCCCCCCTCACTCAGCACCAGAATGGAAAGTGGTGGTCAGGAGTGGAGCACCTTGGAGCTTTATTGCTGGTGAATGCCAAGGAGAGTGGGACCCCTGCCAGCCTAAAATGGCAGCTGAGGGCATCAATGCCCAGGGCTCCAGAGAAGGTGGTACTGACTCCCAATCAATAGAGCCTGGCTGCTGACCCACCCACCCAGGGGCGCTGGATGGGGAAGGAATGGGGAGAGGTATCTGAGCCAGGCAGGATTGGGGAACAGTTACAGTGTGCAGGTCTGGGGCAGAACAGGCGCCAGAAAGGGGCACATGGCCCGTGGCAGCAAGTTGGCTGCCTCTTCACAGGTCTATGGTGTCGCTGCCCACACTCAGCTCGTCGATCTGTCGGCAGGCGTCCAGAAATTGCTCCTGCAGCAAGGCCTCTTCGGCCTGCAGCTCAGGAGCAGGCTCTGGGGAGTCGCGGGAGGGTGGGGACAGGGCCTGGTAGGATCCTGAGGCCGGGAGGCTGGGGCTGCTTCCTGAGGGCCGAGGGGGACTGAGGACGCAGACCAGAGGGCAGCGCGGGGGCCTATCGGGGCTGGAGCATAGCAGCATGGACGAGCTGTCCCTCGAGAGTCCGCACAGTGATCCGGAGGAGGCACTGCTGCCTGCGGGCCAAGCCCCTGGGGAGGGGAGCTCCAGGGGCGCAGGGGAGCCAGGGGCCTCCTCCAACCTCTCACTGGGCCCGGGCCCGGTCTTCGTCCCCAGCGAGGCAGTGCGGTAGAGGCCAAGCCCAGGCAGGGAGTCCTCGAAGGCAGGGCCCTGGAAGAGGCCGGGCGCCAGCAGGGACTCGCTGCAGAGGGCCTCCTCGATGCTGCGACGCAGGTTGATTGGAGAGGGCGGGCGGAAGTCCACGGTGTAATCGCTGCAGGGGGAGGAGGCCGGAGAAGGGGCCGGGTTGGCCGAGGCGCTTTCGAAGCCCCTGCAGCCCTGGAGTAGAAGGTCCGGGCCTGGCCCTGCCAGGGCGCACAGCTGCAACAGCTCTGCGTCGCCACGCACGATGGCACTAGGCAGGGTTTCCTTGTTTGCGGCCCCGGCGACCCAGCCTCCGGGCAGCAGCGGGGCCGCGTGACCCGGGGACAAGCGGAAGAGCTTGGCCCAGCAGCGCGGCGGTACGCGGGGACTGCAGAGCGCGGGGTAGAGGCCCAGCAGCGCCAGCGGGAGCGCGACGCCCACCTCGCCCAGGCGCAGGCCTAGCTGGAACGCCCACCAGGGCCAGGGCCCTTCTAGGCCAGGTTGGCCACCATAGCCCAGGGCGTGCAGCACCTCGTAGCCCTGCAGGGCTCCGCTCAGCAGCCCGAAAGTGCCCGCCACCGGGGCTGTGCGCGCCGCGCGCCGCCAGGACTCACGCGGGGCGAAGGGGCTGCGCGCCTGTGGCAGAGGGGTGGCGCCCTTGAAGCCAGACCCTCCCAGGGGCGCTCCGGCCCTCCGCCGCCGGCCCCCCCAGCAGGAGAGCGCCAGCAGGAGCCCCGAAAGAAGGGCGGCGAGGAAGGCGTGCAGCCCGCGCGAGGCCAGCCGCAGAGGCCGCAGCGGGCGGTGCGCGGCGCTGCCGAGGGCGGCGGCGGCCGCCAGCCCCAGCCCCAGGAGCAGCAGCGCGGCCAGGCCGGCGGGGCACCGCGGCGGGCGCGGCCGGGCCAGCAGCAGGCAAGCCAGCCCCAGGCCGGCGGCCAGGCAGGGCAGCGGAAGGTCCTGCAGCAGCAGCCAGGCGAGCGCGGGCAGTCGCTCCCTGTGCCCGTAGGCGTCGTAGAAGAGTGGGAAGGCCCGCGTGGTCCCAGCCGAGAGCAGCAGCAGGTCCAGCAGCGCCAGACAGGGGGCGCCGGGCGGGCAGCGCCAGGGCAAGAGGGCCAGGGCCAGCAGCGCCAACAGGGCCACCAGGCCGAAGAGCGCGCCTACCCCATACACATGAGCCTCCCAGGCTACCCCCCAGCGAGCCTTGGCCTCTTCCCAGTCGGCCTCCAGGGTCAGGAAGAAGAGGGGCAGTGGGGCCGCAGGAGGCCGTCCCTCAGGTTCAGGCAATCCTCCCACGCTGCAGGACTCGGGCCCACACTCTGGCTGCACCGAAGGGTTCCCAAGGCTGGCAGGAGAGGGGTCATCTGAGCCAGAGGTGGGGATGGTGGGGTCTGTGGACAAAGAACGTTTGGCTGAGGCAGTTATGCAGCCCTCCCCTCCCCACCCCACAGCCAGTATCCTGAGTGTCAGAGAGTCCCTTAAAGTATCCAGGACTCACTTGTCTTACAAGAGACTCATCAGACCTCTTGGCCTCTCACCTTCCCTGCCCCCACTCAAACTCCTCATCCTGAAGTTTCAGCCCTCATCCTTCCCCCTCTTCCTCCTCCTGATTCCCACCCCACTGTCCTCCCGCCCCAGCTCCCAGCTTTGTTCACTTGTGATTCTACTGAAAAGAGTTTTTCTTAAGAAGTCATAGAACTTTACAATTGGGAGGAACTTTAGATGCCACCTGCAGCTCAATCCTCCCACCAGAAAGGAAGCTTTATGAAAACAAGGATTTTTGTTTGCTTTGCTCACATCTGAATCTCCATGCCTAAAATGGTGTCTGTCACATAGTTGGTACAGAACAGACATTCATATTCATATTCAGATATTCTGAACCTTCTTATTTGGCAGATGAAGATACTGAGGCTCTGCTGAGAGGCAAAATGACTTGCCCACGGTCACAAATTGGCAGAGCTGCAACTAAAATCCAGATCTGAGCACCAATCTGAGCCCCTTGCCAGGATTGCAAAGCCTCTTCATAATACCAGTTTGCTTATCTCTTGTTCTTCGCCCCTGACTCCCACTCCCCAACTTGGTGCCAGGAGAAGCTTCCCCTGCCCTTTTTCAACTGCTCCTCTCATGACCCTGGCTCAAGGAAAAGCCTATGCACTTGTGTGCACACACACATGTAAACACACGAGTGCACACACACAGCTGGGGGAGGGGTAAGCCACTCTTGTCCCAGCACTCTGAGGAGAACACCACCAGCCTTCCTCCTGCTATGCCCCAATCCTTGGCTTACCCATGGCTGTGGTCCCCATCCTGACTCAATCACAAAGCCAAGTCTAAGTATCTTAATATATATGCCCCTTTGGTTCTCCCCCCATTTTATAGAAGGTGACACTGAGATGGACTCACCTGAGTCTCAGAAGCTGCCCTTGAATTGTCCCAGGGAGGAACAATTGGGGAGATGATAGTGGGATAAAATGCCATCTGAGTAAGTGGGCCTCTCAGGTGCTCTGGAATTTGCTAACTCAGGCCCCCAGCCCCATCCTGTGCTCCAACATCTTCCCATATCCCTTGGGGAAAGGGAAGTCAGCTAAGACAGGAGGAGGGGTAAGATCCCTAACTCTACTCTCCTAGAGCAAGAGAGGAGTTAGAAAGATTTAGACCCAAGGATTCTCCCCACGGCCAGGCAGCAAGGGAAGATGCTGGAAGCTAAACCTCTCGCTACCATCACCTAGCAGGCTTAGCGGGACTGCAACTACAAGAAAGGATGGGGGAAGAAAGCATGGAGGTGAAGGATGGGGACAGCCTGGCAAGGATGGGCAGGGGGACAAAAGACAGATGTAGAATGTGGGGGGAGGGTGTCCTGACAATCAGACTTCTGCCCCACCTGCCTGGCCACACCCCAGCCACACCCCAGCCATGCTCCAGCTGGACAACACACGAAGACCCCAGGAGCACCCCCACCCCCAGGCAGGGCCAGCTCATGCTGGGGACATGCAAATACAGCAGTTCTGAGGACAAGGAAAAGGAGTGAGGGGGCCAGAAGGTGGCTCTGGGGAGAAGGGAGGGGAGTATGGAATGGACAACATGGGAGGGCAGAGAGGAAGCAGCCAAAAAATCAAATACACACAGTCACTGCCAACTGCAAGTGACAGCATGTGACAGTTCCCTTCCATCACAATCCTCCAATCCGAAGTGGGTGAGAACACCTACTGCATAGGACAGTATGAGGATAAGTGAGATGACGTGAGGATGGGGAGAGGCATAGGGCCAGGCCGCTGAACGGGCTGCAGCATCCAGCATCCAGAGTGATGTGACTCCCTAGCCCTTTGATCTGGGCAGCTGGGGGATAATCAGTCCTGACTTTTCTCTGAATGGAGCTGTCCCTTCCCTGCCAGCTCCTGACACACCAGTTACTCACAATGACATCCCATGTCCTCCCTCACCCTGAGTCAAGAGGGGCCACAGGGTGCTATCTTCTGGGCTTTTCTGGTGGGAAACTGAAGGCTCTTTCTGGGAAGCCTCCAACGGAGAGACAGGAAGTGAGGTCAAGTGGGCCCTTCAAAGGCAGAAGCTGGGTTTTCTGCCACTTGTCCCCACCCATTCTTGGAGTGCCTGGTGCATAATAATCCTTCAATATATGATTGTTGTCAGTGTCATTGTTACCAGCGAATGTCCATCACTGATCAATCATCAGCTCGTGTGTATGTTAGTGTGACCACTTCTGGCCTTAAACAAATTCTTGATTTAACTAACTAAAGGCTGTGATCTGTTTTAAAAGCCCTTAGCACATCCTAAACCTGCTTAGACAATAATTAGTCAAACAAATGAACATCAACACATTGTCTCACTTTATGAACTCTGTTTAAAGAACACCATTCTGATGGCCTAACCACCCCGAACATGAATTAAGATGCCGGGTCTCAGCTAAACGAGGAACCACTCAGCTGGGAACAGAGAGCTTGCTGGCCAGGGATGGCATCAGTCTGGCGCCGGCGGGATCAAATGCACACACTCCCTCACTCCTCATTCTCTGCTCCTTACCCAACCCACTTCTGCAAAGGGAAGGAATTTGTTTGGTCTTTCTTTGGCCTCTGTGGGCTCTGCAGAGAGGCAGGCTCCTGCTGGGGAGCCCACAGTCTGCCCCAGCCTGTCACCCCTCACTGTACAGACAAGTGCAGCTCTCAGAGGCCAGCTCCACTTCACTGCCTTCCATCTCCACATCTCACCCGTGGGCCACAGGAAACCCCATCTTTCATCTCTGTACCAAGCACTATGACAACTGGAGCAAATTTCAACACTCATAAGAATCCAGAAAAGAAATAAAACCCAGAAAATAGGCAAAGTACAGGGCAGCTCAAGTGTCAGGGAAGCAGTTCTGAATTAGAGGCACTGATTCCTGGGGTCAGACCAGTGTTCCCTGCACTGGTCCAAGAATGGGTGGGGACAAGTGGCAGAAAACCCAGCTTCTGCCTTTGAAGGGCTCACTTGACCTCACCTCCTGTCTCCCCATTGGAGGCTTCCCCAGAAAGAGCCTTCAGTTTCCCACCAGAAAAGCCAAGAAGATAGTGATCCCTGGTCTTCCCTTCCTGGGGTCCCTCTCCTGGGCAGGCCTCCCCTACAGGGAGGTCCCTCTCTGACCCTGTGGCCCCTCCTGACTCAGGGCGAGGGAGGACATGGGATGTCATTGTGAGTAACTGGTGTGGCAGGAGCTGGCAGGGAAGGGGCAGCTTCATTCAGAGAAAAGTCAGGCCTGATTATCCCCCAACCGCCCAGATCAAAGGGCTAGGGAGTCACATCACTCTGGATGCTGCAGCCTGTTCAGCGGCCTGGCCCTATCCCTCTCCCCACCCCCACCGCCAGGATCATGGAGGATTGATACTCTTTATAGGGGTGACACTCAAAATATTTAACAATTGGATGGTACAGGTGCCAGCTATTCAGAACAGACACCAGCCAGGGTGGTCAGGGAGTGAAGGGGAACACTCAGGGGACTAAGGGAAGTGGGTACTGATCAAGTGGCATAAAAGTCCTTCAATATGCTATGACCTGTACAACTGTTCTGGTGTGTATGGCTAAATACGAGCTGTGTCCAAAGTGAAGGACACCTACCAGAAGGAAGGCCCAGGAGTCAAAGGTTAACTTGCACCTAGGTTAGAGGTACTGAGTGCAGTGGCTCACACCCGTAATCCCTATTAGGGTGGCAGAGACAAGAGGATTGCTTGAGCCCAGGAGTTTGACACCAGTCTGGGCAATAGAGTGAGACCCTGTCTAAGAAAAAGAAAGAAAGAGAAAGAAAAGAAAGAAAGAAAGAAACAAAGAAACAAAGAAAGAAGGAAGGAAGGAAGGAAAGAAAGAGAGAGAGAGAGAAAGAAAAGAAAGAAAGAAAGAAAAGAAAAGAAAAGAAGGGGGCAGAAAGAAAGATCCTAGAGGACACAGAGAGACTTCATTTGTCCCATAACTGCTTACTCCTTACATACATGCTGCTGGCATGAGCAAGGCCATAGGCCTTGTTTCCAGGAGGCCTGTAGCATTCCCAGGTTTATCCCAGAGGAGCAGCCAGAGAGAGGCTGGGTTCCTGCAGCCATCAGTGAGGAGGAGGAGTGAGGGTGGGGCCACCAGCCTGCCCAGCTACACTGCCTCTGATACTGTCCAGACTTATTAAACCTGCCTGGCCAGCAGTGTCACTGGGGCTGACAGACTGCCAGCCAGCATCCTTCCCCTGAGGCACAGAGCCTGCCCCCCACCCCACAGCGGATCCTGCCACTGCTGCATACTGGGCTGGACAGGGTGGGGAGGGATGGCAGCTCCTCACCCACTCTCTGAGAGGGGCCGGTGACTGCAGCTGGAGTGAGCCAGAGAATCGGGTGCTGGGTTAAGTCTGGTGCTGGAGGAAGCCAGGGGGACCAGTGGTTTCCACGCTGAGCCTAGTGCGGGCTGGCTGAGAGGTTTCACAGCCACATAAACCCTTTGCGGGGCAAAGCTGGGCCTGGAAGTCCCTCTCCATGACTCCCTTGGCCTCAGCTACCAGAACCTCTCCTGGAGCACCTGTGTCCTCTGCCCTGGGGGTTATGTGGGGCCAGGGTTGTGTGTCTGAGAGGTAGGGTCTGGAAGTGTATTTGGGGTACAGTGGGGGAAAGAAGCAAAGTTAATAGCTACCATTTGATGAGCTTCTACTTTGTGCTCAGCATCATGCCAAGAGCTTACATTACCTGGAAGATTTATAATTACTCAGCAAAATAAATACTGTTATTAAACTCTAGATATATGAGAAAATTTAGGTTCAGAGAGGTTAAATAACCTGCCCAAGGTCACTCAGTTAGTAAGTAAGTGAACTGGAATTCGAAGCCAAGTCTCAAGATTCCAGAACCTGTGGTCTTTTCTCTGCACCACTAGCTTGTCTATATGCCTGTTCTGAATGGCCCCCTTGAATGAAAGTGGCATCTGTCTGCTCAAGCTCTCCTCTTCAATGTCTTCCCAGTGAGGTGCCCAGCTCTGCCCACATCTGACAGCATGTCATGTCAGATCAGACAGCAAAAGAGAGATCCCCAAGGTGGAAGAGGGGGCAGGGAGGCAGGTCAGGCCAACTGGAGTAGAGGGTGGGGTTGGCGCTGAGGCTGTGGGAATCACAAAGGAATTCCTGTGTCTGTCTGCCCTGATACCTCTGTCTACATCCTGCTCTGCCTGTCATTGCAAAACTCTCAGAGGACCATTACTTAACTCTGTGTGGAACTCTCCCCAGCAACACTTGTTCTCAGACAGTTATTAATATATATCTCCACATGATGATAAAGAGAACGGTGATTATTATGATGACAATGAAATAAAGGGGTCTCAGAACACTGATGAGTGACTAACATGTAGTAAGTGCTCAGCAAATAATTGCCAAGTTTAAATGAACTGGACACTTACCTAGTGATGTTGTTACAATCAAGGCAGAGCTTGGGGAAGCAGCTGGGTCCAGCAGGCTTGGGCTGGAGAGCTTCCTCTCCAGGGGGTTTGGGGGTGGGGACAGAGTGGTGCCAAAGAACCCTGAAAAGGGAGCACATGGGGCTCAAACGCCACCCTACCAGCTGGCCTTAGCCTCTGGGGTTTTAGAGAAAATCCTCTTCTTCCCCAGAGCTGGCCCTAAGGAAGCCACTGTCCCAGGAATTGTAGCCACCTGCTAAGCTTATGTACACCATGAGCTAAGCTAAAAGGACCAAACTAGACTCAGTATATGGCAAAGAGAATGATTCCCCCATGGGAGCAGAAGCCCATGTCCTAGGGCCTGGAAGAAGCAGTGCAGATCTCCCATGAGTCAAAAACAATCGGACAATTCACAATTGCAAAGATGTAGAAACAACCCAAGTGCCCATGAATACATGGGTGGATTAATAAAATATGGTATATGTATACCGTGGAGTTCTACTCAGCCACAAAGAATAATAGTGAACTAGCATCTCTTGTATTATCCTGGCTGGTACTGGAGCCAGTTCTTCTAAGTGAAGTATCACAAGAATGCAGAAACAAGCACCACACAGGTACTCACCATCAAATTAGTACTAATTGATCAACACACATACACATATGGAAGTAACATTTATCGGGTTTTGGGCAGGTGGTGGGGGAGGAGGCGACGGGTAAATGCACACCTAATGGGTGCAGAGCACACTATCTCAGATGGGCACACTTGTAGCTCTGACTCGGGTGGTACAAAGGCAATATATGTAACCTAAATGTTTGTACCCCTGTAAAATTTTGAAATTAAAAAAAAAAGAAAGAACAGGAGGTGCTGGTTAGGCCCCTAGCACAGAGCCTGGTATGGAAAGGTATTCCACAATTCTTTATTGCAATGACATAAACACTCACCTGGAGAACCTGAAACTCCAGAGGCAGAGCTTGGGGATGGAGTTTCACCTGGGGGACTCAGGCCTGAGAAGTTCCGGAGTGGGGACAGAGTAGTGCCAAAGAATGCTGCAAAAGAAGCCCAGGCTGAAGCTGCCTCCTACCTGCCAGAGATGCCCAGTAGGGCTTCCCTTGGGGTGGGATAGGTACTCACCAAAGGGTCCCAGGCGCCCAGCAATCTCTGCCAGGCTGGCCCGCAGGCTGGGCAGCAGGGGCAGTGTCCGATGCCCAAGTGTCGGGGCTGCTCCTGCTCTCAGTGCCATGTCAAACTTCAGCTCCAGCTCGCTCTGGTGGGGCCTGGGAGCACTGGATGGAGGTGCTGTAGCCATCAGAGCAGTGTCCCAGGTCACAGCGCCCATCCTTGGCCGATAGGGAGCAGTGGGCCCATCAGTGGGCCCAGAGAGGGGGGATGTGGACTCTGGAGGCAGGGAGGACGCCCAGGGCATAGAGCTGCCTTCAGCAGAGCCCCACTCTGGGGGAGAGTTCCCAGGGGAGCCCACCAGCAGTTCCCAAAAGGGGTCAGCCCTCAGCCCACTGACCACCTCTCCCCCTGGCTTCTGGCCTGGCGCAAGAGAGAGAGGCTGGGTCTCTGTGACAGGGCTCCCCCAGACAGCAGCAGGTCGCCGAAGATGGAATTTGAAGTTAAGTCCCAAGTTGAGAGAGAGCATAGAGTCCTCACTCTGAGGTGGTGGGGTCAGAGTGGTGAGAGGGGCACCTGGGACGGAGGAGGCAGGCTGGGGGCCCACAGGAACAGCAAGCAGGACCCAGCAGAACAGCCCCAGCCCCAGACAGCCATGCCCTGCCATGGCCCCACCTGGCCTTGGGTGCCCTTGGTGGGCAGTGGGCTCAGTTCTTCAGCACCTTTTGAGCACGAAGGTCCTGGAGAGAAGAGAGGCCCTATGAGCCCTGGCCACTGCCACCTTCTTCCCGTTCCCAGGATCAGATGCCCCAGAGAGAGGCTCTGATCACAGAGAAGCAGGTGGTGGGGGCAGGATGCAGTGATCCACCCAAGGAGAGAGACGTGATGGCTCTTTTTGCAGGGTCCTTCCTGTACCTTCAGACCCCAGCACAAATCCCTGCCTTGCAGTTTCTCCTCCCCAACCTGCTCATGGGGGGAATGGGGTCTGACTGCAGCCTTCATTCTTAACTGACAGCAGAGGGGATGGACTTGGATTCCCTCCCTCCTTCACTCCCTACGTTTCCCTGAGCCTTCCCTCCTCCCTGAAATATTTACTGGGCCTACCGAGTGCCACATACCCTTCTGGGCATACAACTGCCAACAAGCAAGCCCTCCCCACCCCCATTCCCGTCCCCAATCTCAGGTGCTGGCCCTCTCCCTCTCAGACCACTGGCATACTGGGCCCGGGAAGGGTGAGTGGAGCCCAGTGTAGAGTGATCTGGCAGAGCCGGGAAGGCCGCCCAGGTTCCGACCAGAGAAGCAGGGTTCCCAGTCTGGCAGAAGCACCCTCTCCTCAGCCCCTCCCCTCTTTCCTGGGGCTTGGCCTGCTCTCTTCCCCAGGGCCCTGCAAGTATTTGGGGGAGGGGCAGCTTGGCGATCTCGCCTTCCTGGGGGAGAAGGCCAGGCAAGCGAGCCAACCCCGGCAGGGGCAGCTGCCGTACGCTCCCACCCCTCCCCAGAACTCTCCCCTCCACCTGCACACATCTGGTGGAGGAAGGGAGGGTGAGCCAGGGACACACGTGCACTCGGCACCCTTACATCACACACACAGCCACACCTAGCACCCGTGACACACTCACCCACTCACCCTTCGCACACTCCTGCCCCTGCACACACAGGCACTCGGTCCTGCTGACCCCCTCCCTCCTACATGGGTCCAGACCCAAGCTCTGAGAGCTCGCAGCCTCCCTGTCTCTCTCTCTCACTCACACACCACAGCATATACTGTATAGAGAGGCACACACCCCCTCCACACGCATTCACACACTGTAGAGACACACACCTCGCATCGTCACCCCCCACCCCCTACACACCCACCACCCCTCGCAGGCACACACGCGCACACACACGCACACACTCCCCGGACCGGCCCACCTGCTCCTCTCGCTCCCTCCCGCAGGCAGGTCTCCTAGCCAAGTCCCCCGAGAAGGGGCGGTCGCGGCGGCCCGGGTGCCCAGCAGGGCAACGCTCCGCAGCTTCTCGCCCGGTCTCTCCGCGGCGCCCAGCGCCCGGACTGGAGATCCGGACCCCCACTCCCCGACGCCCCCACGGCTCATCTGGCGACCGCAGCTTCGCCGACCCTCTGCCCCCGGCCCGGCCCCCGGGCCGCATTGCTCTCACCAGGCGGGCGCCCGGCTCCGCGCTCCGCACTCCGCGCTCCCTCCCGCGGCGCCGCCTCCTGGCTCGGAGCCTCGCTCCCCCGCGAAGCTGCCCGCGCCGGGGCTCCGCGGCGGCGGCTCTGACGGCCCGCCCTCCCCCGCCGCTCCCGCGCCCTCCCTTCCTCTCCCCCTCCTCCTCCTCCTCCTCCTCCTCCTTCTCCTCCCCCTCCCACCCAGCCCGCCGCCCGCCGTACGCCCCACACCGGCCGCCGAGCGGGCGCACAGCAGCGCCGAGTCGCGGCTACCTCGTGCCGGTGGCCCCGCGCGCTCATTCACCTAGTGCTGCCAATCAGCCGCGGCGGGCGCCGCGCTCTCAGCCTGGCGAGGGCAGCCACGCACTCCCAGGGCGGCCCGGCACACACATCCACACGCACACCTTCCCCAGGAAACACACCCGCAGGTCAGGGAGCGCGGGTACACACACACACACACACACACACACACACACACACACACACACACACACACACACACGACAGCCTGGCCCAGGATGACACCCCTGGCTATAAGAGCCACTGCGTTTGTTAATCCTCCACCATACGTAAAAGTATAGTACGCACTTCTACATTCCTTATCTCATTAGTCCTCACCACAGCCCTGTGTGTGTCCCCATTTTGCAGATAGGTAAATTAAGACTGAAAATTACCGAATTTGCCCGCGATTGCACAGCTTGGCAGAGACTTGCACCCAATCTCCCTACCCGCCCTCTTCGCCACCTGGTGGTTTTCACCAGCTGTGCTGCTGCGCGGGAGTGCCTCCAACAGGTCACAGGTGAACTGCCAAATGTCAATCCGAGTAACATTTCTTTTTGCTAAAAAGTTTCTTTCAAAAATACTCAGTTTCAGAAACGTCGGCCAGAAAGAATGGTGAGTGAAGCTGCTTGTGAGAGGTGGATCACAATGTTTCTAGTAAGAGGTGAGAGGAGAACAGTAAAATCAAAGGAGTGTGCAGCCTCGCCAGAAAATAAGAGCCCCCCCAAGCGAAAGCTGACACGTGTCGAAATGACCAAGACAACAGAGCCACCACTGTGCATACTGCATGGATCCTGCTATGCTGCAGTAATGACTGATTTAAGTAGTACTGATTCGCTTATGTGTTTTCGAGTGTCTAAATCCCTTCATGTTTTCTCCCCAAAATGCTAGTGATTTAAACGTATGCGGAGAACATTAAACACTTTGAGGCTCCCTGCACCATTTAAAGTCTCCCTCAAAATCCATACATCCGACTGTGTGCCAAGCGCTGTGGAGGATGCTTTGTGTGAGTCTCCTCATTTGTTTCTCATCACAAGCCTCAGAGAGAGAAAAATTATTGTCACCATGTTACAGCTCTAGATGTGACCCTGAACCCCCTTTCCATCTACACCCCTCTCCTCTGCTTTTGGAGGAGGGGAGGAGCAATGCTTAAAGAGTGACCTAGGGCGGGGGGTTCTGTCTTAGTTATCAAGATGTAGCATAGCATTTTGCCCACTGTAGATGCTCAATGACTATCTGATAAGTGAAGAATGAATGAATGATTCTGAGGACCGTCTGGGCCCTGGGTTGCATTTCAGAAAGGTATAGGGATCTCACTTCCTTATCACAGAATCCCCCCAATTGATGTCAAATCAAATTAGACCACCAACTGAACTCCTCTTATATTCATCAAGGATAAAGTCTGGGATTTATTCTGGGTCCCTAAACAAAACATGGCATCTCCAGATGCACCCTCAGGAGTTACTATAGCACCCCCATCCCCTAGTCCATTAGGGGCTGCTTGGGGGCTACATCCTGGGATTCAGCCTCTGTTCTTTCTTATATACTTAACAAAAGGTATCCCACTGGACACATTTTCTTTGAATCCTCCTCATAGAAAGGCCCATTTCCTGCTAATCATGTTCACTTAAAGACTTCTAAATGGAAAGACAGAAATAAACAAATCTCAGCACATTAAAATAGCAACACTCCATGGGCAAGTAGGTTATTCCCAGGAATTATAATTTTAAAAATATATTGAAAATGGAAGTTAGAGTTCCGGGTTAAGATAGTGATTGAATGCATACATGTAATTTCTCTCCCTCCTCACACCCCGTTAAATATCAGTAAAGAGATTTCCAAATCAAGAGATAAACCTACAAAGATAGAGAGATCAGGAAAGGAGATGACAACAACAGAATTTTTGAGACAGGATGGCAGGCAGTCATGCGGTTACTGACTTCTCAGCCCTGAGGAAAAAGACATCTCTAACTGGCAGTGGGGACAACTGAGATCCAATTTATATTGAAAGGTTCTCAGAAGGCACAGAAACTGGCAGTCCAAGGTCCCTCCGGAACTGTGGAAGAGGTTGCTAAAGGCAGGACTGGCCTGAAATGCAGTTGGATCCCTAGATCTCTTCTCTAACTCTGAACCACTGGGCAACAGTCCTTCTCACATTCCAACCAGAGCCTGGAGGATTTTCCTCTAAACAAGGTAAGATAGAAGGTATCTGGACTGGGAAAGCTTCATGTACAGTTATGAGCAGAGATAGCATACTGAAAATGCTGAAAACAAGGGTATTAAGTGGCCATGTCATATGCAATGCTGAAGGCAGAGACCCTGAGCCTTCTCCCACAACTATCTCCCAAAGTGGTGGGAGCAGGACCTATGCTTGCCAGGCTAGAGATGGGAAGACTCTATCTTGGGACATTACACCAACCCAAGAGAAAAGATCTAAATATGCTAACATAAGGGATTCTCCAAAAACAGCCCAGCTAGATCATCTTACTGTGGCAAACCCAACCTGTGAGCTCAAAGTTTCTGACCAACTACACACCCCATCCCCCAAACTTAATTATTACCAAAGATTACCAGACATCCAGGAAATTATCTAACACAGAAGAGAGAGACAAAACAAACAATGAGAAAAAGTAACTGGGAGGAAACAAGTTATACAGAGAGAAGGCATCGAAAAGATCATTGTTAATATCCTCAGAGAGATGAGAAGATACCGTATGCATGAAACAAGAATAAGATGCTACACAAAGGGACATTCAGAGAACAGCAACAATGGTGTCTTAGAAAGTAAAATCGTGATAGCAGAAACAAAAACTTCAATAGGAAGATTGGAAGACAGGGTTGATTAAATCTCCCTAGGATGTAAAGCAAACATACTAAGAGATAGAAAATATAGGAGAGAAAATATAAGAACATTAGAGGACAATTCCAGTTCAATATCAAAATAATAGAAGTTACAAAAAGAAAACAAGAACCAGATGAAAGTGAAAGGGAAGAAATCATCAGTTAACTAATGTGAGGAAATTTTCCAGAACAGAAGGACATGAGTTGCCAGGTCATACTGGTGAGTCCACCAAGTCCCCAGCACTACAGATGAAAATAAACCCACACCAAGACAAATTGAAGAGTCTAGAAACTTCCAGGAAGAAGGAAAAAATAAACTAAATGTGCAAAGAATCAATTATGAGAAAGACTTTGAATTTCTCAACAGCAACACTGGA